CTTAGCTCGTAGGTAGACGACGCATTCTCTCGACTTACGCGGGTAATTGATATCCGATTGCACGTGGATAGGGACTTTGACATGAATCGGTATATTATGTATTATTCAAACCTGCCTACGCATCGCGTAAAACATTGTAGGCATGGCGCGGAAAAAATTCAAAACTTTGTGGGAATATATTCAATGTTTATGTATTGATAAAACAATAATATAAAAATACAGCGCGTACCTATGCTGTGTTTTGCGGTAATTAAGTAAAAATTACGACAATCAGAAATAGTGAAGTCTTCCACTCACGACCTAGAAGGAATTTTCTTACCATTTATTTTAATCCACTTGAAAAAATTTCCCTTTCCGGTGCTGTGGTATAAACTATAAAGTTACTGTTTTGGGAATGTACTCATTACATTCTTGTGACTATTATTTTACACTCTCGAACTTATCGTTCAAACTCCAACAAAAACTCAGTGCTAACTTTTTTATACGATTAATAATTTGTGAATTAGGTAAGTACAAGAAAACATTTGAAATTGCAACCTTTCGTTTAAATATCCAATTTCAATAAAAATATTTTTTCGATATTTATGAACGCTGTTACAGTACAAAAAACTTATGAGGGACCTACTTTCATAAAATATTCAAATCTTGGCTATTAAAATTGAAAAGAATTTTCAACAACAAAACAATTTGCAAATATTTTTGACGAATTTGTACTTTGTCGAAATTAGAACTTTAAGCGATTAAAGGTATAAGCGGTATAAGTTTAAGAATATGGATTTACGATATTTTCAATTGATGTAAGAACAACTTTTGAGGAAATTATGTAATATATTTCCATGCTGTTTGAATCACAAACAAAATTTTACCAAACATAAATCTAAAAACTTGAAAAAAAAATTCAAAGATTTAAAATATCTATTATAAATACCACAAAAAAAGACCAATATATTTTGTAAGTTATTTATTTATGTCTATAAAACTATAAACCAAATATTTATTATTTAGAGAAAATTTCAAGTCATAGAGGTTATTAATTTTTTATTACAACAAAAAAATATAATCGATAAGTCAATAGTGCCCTCCTACATTTAAATTTAAAAACAATGCAAAAGTTGAAATGAAAGTTATGAATAAATAAATTACCATTTAAGAGGTTATACTATATTAGAATGACTATAGTATTATTTGTCCTAATTACCGTATCCGGAAGAGTTGACGATAAAATATATTTAGCTCATTTAATCCTGTTTTAATATTTGTCAAATCCTATATCCTCCAGATACATCCCTGTATACAATTACAATATCTCTCGTCACAATTACAATTATGCCACGCGTGCATTAATGACGACGACGACTACGACTACATTGACGACGACTAATGACGATGATGATGATGGTACGACGTTTTGCAGGCGTGTGGGCTTTACGCAATTCGAATTCGCGTCCTTGTCGCACCTCTCGGCAACCGCGGTATCAGACACGTGGACCTCGCAAACCATAGTAATATTATTGTATATTATTGTTTGTCATATACGTCCCGGTCGACTTTTATGGGCTTTGTTTACGCCGACTTTTACATCACGAGGAGGAATAATAATATGTATATAACAATCGTCTCCATCGAGCATAATATATAAGTTCACACATATTATCTATACGTGACGTGTCGATGACGGCAACATTATGGTGATGATAATAAAACGTTACGATTCGGGAAACGCTCAGCATCGCGAAATTGCCTTTTTCGGCCAAAGCGGATTCGGCCATACCTTCAGCCCTTCGCCGTGAAGTCTCTTCCCGTCGGATCCGCGTAATGATCATATAATAATATAATATAACATTATATAGGTAGGTAGGTAAAATACGATTATTACTCAACGGTTTTATGTTACATCATAATTATTATTATGGCGACCACCAGGTCTATTGTATATGCCCAATATACGAACATAGTAATTATTATTGTACGATCGTACGTACAGCTGCTGCTGCTGTCGATCGCGTTAGGTATTGATTATAATTTATAATAATTATTTGTTTGGCTTGCGTTATTGTTGTTCCTCTCTTACGCGTGACGAGCGGCATCGCTATACGTATAGACACATCGACCTCGGACATTATTCGCACGTATTTTTTTTTTTTTTGCGCGGTTCTTCAGTAGGTAACTACCTTTTTATTTTCGAGGGATTATAATTGATGGTACCTATACATGAAGCGAATGTGAAATTGACCCACCCCCAAACCGAAATGTAATTTATCAAGTGCACAATACACCTACCTATTGGCGGGTATTCAAAAAAATGTTTTCAAGCTTATTCGTATAATGTTAAAATTAAAATTGTGCATTTTACCATTTTGCAGCAATAAGCAAAGATATAAGGTAGGTAGGTACCTATCGGTATTTCGATATGCTACATTCTCACGTAAATCTCTATTTAAATGTCTGAAGGGCGCGGGGCTAACTTAAGTGTAATTTTAGTGTTTACTGATATCATAAGCACTGATATTCAAAATATGGTTTTAAATACTTTGTTCTGCAGTACGTAGGTACTCAACAAAACATTTTCTCTGTATAATAAGTTAAAATATTGTGTGATTACTGCGAGTACATAAAACTACCGGAAAACTCTCGACAAATGAAAACTGATATACCTAGTATCAATTATAAACAGCTTTATGTACTCTGAGAGAATGTAATATATAGGTACTTATTATCAGTATCAGCATTAATTATTGATTATCGTGTAAACACATTACTCCACTCTTTATGTATTGTATGTATAGTCTATAGAATTGCATTGGGCAGTTCACAAAAAAAATATTGTTTTCAAATCAACTAACAGAGGTTACGACTTGGTGGCTACGAAAATGATGCAACTTGCTTGATATATAGGTTTATTGAAAATTTTGCAGATCATAATATCTCGAAGGAGATCATTATAACAAAATTGACTGTGGAGTAAAATGGGGCCATCCCCGTGTAAAATAATTAATCATGCTGCATCTACGAAGTGTACTCTAACACGTCATATTGTATTACTAATTAACCATCTTATACCAAATATCAATCGACGAAAACATGAAGATCTCCATGTCGATTATAATATTGTGACTTTATTTTTTATATTACACCTAATTGTCTGGGGTGGCGGTAAGGCAGGGGTCATTTTCACATGCACTGCTCAGTGTTTTCAACGGACCACAACATTATGTGATCAGTGGCCAGAGTGCGTGCGTGCACTTATATCAACACACGCGCGAGTCAGTTTCACACGAAAACTGAACGATTATTGAATAACCGTAATTGTGGATCATTGTAATTATTGACACGTTAGTAGGTATATTATATTAAAATATTATTATATCATAATAAATAATAACGATTATATATTTTCATTTACAGAAACGTGAAATTTGGTTCTCACGATCGTCGTATTTATATTATGATAATACTATTATTATTATTACTATTATTAATAATACACAATATTATTATTAAACCGTCGCGCGCAACAACCGGTAGCCGCCGCCGCGTGTCAGGCACGACGCTTATTATTATTATTTTTATTATTATTACTATTATCATTATTCAGTAGCCCCCGACGACGACGACGACGACGAAACCATCGCCGCCGCCGAATCGTTTCGCTTGCCAACGGGCGTGCACGTTTCGGTTCGCGTTTCCGCGACGCGTTTCCGTCCAAAAAATAGAAGTGAAAAAAATAAAATTCAAATCGCATATTATAATACAATTATCGTATGACCTTCGGCGATACAACAAAAACAACAATCCATGTTACCATGTTACCGCATGTACTGCGGGTATATTATAAATTATAATAATATAATATATATTTCATATTATTATTATAGTAATTAACCGATCGTTTTTCGTTTTCATTCTCACGCGCGTCTAAATGAACACAGTAGTTCACCTACATGGCTATAATACCTACCTAATAGTGTAGAATAAGTTTATAACCCCCATAGAAGCCTAAAACGGGGTAACTTTGTCCCATTTTTCAGCATTTTTCAACTTTAGAGCTAATTTTAGGTAGGTTGCACTTAAAAAAAAAAAGAAAAAAAAATATGTACATAATTGTGTGGGTTCAGACATGCCCTCTGCGAAATAAATTTTTAAATTTTTAAATTTTTTAACCATAAAAAATTTTTCAAAAAAAATGGGCCAAAGTTACCCGTAAATGGGGTAACTTTGTCTCACCTCCAAATATCGCTATAGATTGGCCGTTTACACTACTTTGGGCCAAAGTTAGCCTATGCTAGGTTAATTAGCAAGTACCTGAAAAATAATTTAACCAGGTTTTATAGTAAAACAAGCTGTAAAAACGAAAAAAAAATTTGTTTTTCGGAAAAAAATTTGTATTTTAATGTTTATTACAAGAGTTCAAAAATAAAAAAAATCTGTATTACTTAGGTACATTTTTGCAGTTAATATAAAAAAAAGTTAATTTATTGAACAAAATCTTCGAGTTCTGGCACTCGGAAAAAATTTCGTTTGCCGTCGCTGGAGGAAGAGGAAGAGGACAAAGCTAGTATTTTCTTTTTTTTTTGCTGCTTAGGTTGATTTGATGGTCCAGGTTGATCACGAGCTTTTTGCAGGTCTTCGAATGAAATACTGTCACCTGGTAACACTTGCAGTTTTTTTTTCTTGGTTTTGCAGATCCACCTATGAAATTTTCACGTTCTTTCTGTATCTGTTCTAAAAATGCCTCTCCAATCAAATCTTCGTCCAAGCAATTATTTTGATTTTCCGCCAACCGATCGAGCAGTTTGTCTCTGTTTATTGGGCATATACCAGCTTTTACGAATCCTGCTTTTAAGTTCTCTTCTTTTTTTGTATCTATTTGTTCCATTAACTTGGACAGCAACCTCGGAAACATGTCCTTAGGGAGAGTTGAATAATTTGAACCGGTTTTAGTTTTTTTCCACTCACGTAACAGTTCTCGCCAGGCACCCTTCATCGGCCGAAAAAAAGCGATGTCTAGAGGTTGGGCAATATGTGTAGTGTTTGGTGGCAAACAGACGAACTTAATGTTATGTGTGTCACATAATGACAGTACACGTTCATTAATATGGGACGCCAAGTTATCACCAATTAAAGCAAATGGTTATGAAAATAGCATTATAATCCCAAAAAAGGAAAATAAAATAATATTTTCTACTCAGATAGTAGCTCTGGGTAACTTTGGCCCACCAAAAAATAGTGGGACAAAGTTACCCCGGCCTAGAAAACGTGTTTTAACTTAAACAAATTTCATTTTTTTTTTAAATTGCCAAGAAATACTTTATTAGAAGTATATTTGTAAGACAATATCAAACTTACCAAGTTCTAAGGTGATTGAATATATTCGAATGAAACAAAAGTTTTGAGAGGTGCTTTTAACAGTCCAAAAATAACGTTGACAAAACAAATATTTATTGATAACAATACAAGTGATATCGCCAAAAACTGTTATCACATTCGGTTACCAGTGTTGTCAGGAATCAGAATCAACCACAACATTTTGATAATAGTCACATTTCTTATCACAGTGTACAGAAGTTATCAAAATTCCAACTGTGGGCCAAAGTTACCTCCCTGGGCCAAAGTTACCCCGTTTTACGGTATTTCTAAACTTGCCAACCAGCTATATTAATAATACTATATTATATTGGGTATTATAATGGTTTGATCAAATTTTTAACCATTTTTTAATTTCACCAGAAATTATTTCCACACTTGAAACAAAATATTTAAATGAATCGACTGTATTGAGTCGATTGACAATGGTGAGGTGTATTATAAATTTACACCTCTATAGGTAGATACGCGTGTTAAATTTTATATAATATATAAATATTATAATATCGGAGGGCAAGATCGTGTATAGTTGGTCGACCGCGAGTTGCATAATCAAAATATAATATTTTATATTTATAGGCTGTTATATTATAGTGGTTCTCGACGATAAAGAATATTTTTTATTTTGTGTTTTTTTATGTCTTATCCACGACTTGTAGTACTGTGTTGTTGATATCGTTAGGGCTATAGCAGGATGACATTAACGGATTTATGGTCAAATAATTCGCACATTACTCGTGGGAAATGGACAACGTTTAACGGGTTCACTATATACTGAATTATATTTAGGAAACGCTGGTGTGGATTTATTAGGTAAACCACAAAAATGTGTTTACAAAAATAAAATAATGGTTACGTTAATTGTTTTTTTGCTTATTGAAATATTAAGTATGAGAACATGATCCGTAGTTGAAATTGATTTGAAATGAATTTCGTGTGAAATGAGTGAATATTGTTCTAAATAATTATTCAAATTCTATTAATATTTTATTATAAATGTATAACCTTATACCTAGGTCGGTATGTATACTCACGATTTGTATAACTGTTTTATTTGCTTGCATAGTTAATTTTTTATCCACTTTGATCCACAAACATATAAGTCAGTAAATATTTATACGAAGTACGACAACAATAGTTATTGATAATTAATGATAAGTATATAATATACTTTGCATCTTTTACATGACATTGTGAAATAAAAATTATTTACTATTGAGTGGTCGTCAATCCAAAACTATTATTACGACATGAACGACATTTAACGACCGTTACTTCTCAGTTATCAATAATATAGGTGTGCCTACCTAGTTTAATAACCAACAGAATAATAAAATCACAGTAAGATATAATATAATGTCAGATATTATTTTCAATTTTTGCTTTTGGCGTTAACGTTTGGTGAACATTTCAAGTATCAAAGGTGTACCAAAATTAGTTTTGGAGTAACAGCAAAAAAACAAAATCGATTTTCCCAAATACCTACTGATATTGCTTATACATTCACGTTTTTCCTGAATTGATTTGCTGTTTTTTTTTTCCGGTGGTTTTGAAAAGTACTGTAGGTACTTCCAAAACCCCAACTAGATCCAATTTTCTACCACCACCTGCAGTAAAAAATTGAATTATTTTTGATTGTCCTAAAAAAGTGATGACAGATAAAAAAAATAGACACACACAATACATTCATTGCTTTGCTCAGAATCTAGAACAGCTTCTTGTCGTTAGTAGAATGAAAATGTAATAGTTTTCCATGTTTAAATTAATTTAAAATATCAATAGGGATGCATCGTATATATAAGTGGATAAGACAGTTCGACTATTAAGACTACAAGCTGACCTGATTTTTAGGTTATCATAATATCAATATATTGACTACAAGCTATATTATTACTTAAATAATTAAAATTCTAGAAACGATTTCTACACTTTAATGTATATTTTGTATCATTGAATATATTTTTATGACTGAAATTTTTATTCGTTTACCTTGTTTACGGTATTAATTAAAGTAGTCGATTGGATCATTGAATAATAAATTTATTTTAACTAATTTGAATTTTTGTTTTTTTTTTAAATTCGCAACAAGTATTGTAACTTGTTAGTATTGCATATTGTAACAGAGAATATTGTACATTTATAGCTTTAAGGCAAATTGTATAACAATAATAATAATATACAAACTATATATGAATATTATTATATTTTTGAAACTTTATATAGTATTATAATTATACTAAATTTAAATCTAATACACGCGCGACGTGCTTAATAATTAAATAATTATCAGTTATTATCTGCAACTTTAAAAAAAGGTTTTGTAATATCTAAACACATTTAATTTGCATTAAAATTATGGTAAGTAGATATACATAAAAAAAAAAGAGGATGTCACTCTGCTGTACAATATGTATCAAGTGTACATTGAGTAGTTGACTGTAATAGATTTTATGTGAAATTTGAATTCAACTATAAATCATTTCTACGAAAAACAATTCTGAACGGAGAAACTGACTAGAATTAAAAAAAATAATATTATATTTTATAGTGCTGTACATATAGGTACATCTCCGCCGTTAGTCCGATTCAAGTATTCAACACTCCGTCGTTCCTCGATCCTACGCATGTCCTTTCATAAATACGAATTGAGTAGGAAGGCCGAAGGTATATTACTCGTATTATAATTGTTATATATATGGTAGGTAAGTATAAATGGTATACCTAAACTGTGTATTATTTTTAAAATTAAAAAAAATACATATAATACGAGTATTATTAAAAATATTATGAGTTTCACTTATTCTTCATGGTTTTTGTATTCTTTGAGTATACTATAATTTGTTTTCTTGAACTAATATTAAAATTAATCCTAAAGATAAACGGATGAAGTTGTAAGATGAAAACGTAAATGCATTATATACTAAACGTTAAAACGTCACACGTGATTAAAACAAGTTTATCATTTTATTCATGGGTCATCGATGAAGGTCCTTAAGAAACTGTGTTTAATATTAGTGTATTTTATAAAAACAAAATTAAATTGCGCATGAAGTACAAAATATGTGGTTTTATATAATATATCCGGCAAGTTTCTTTTAAATATACATCATACAGTTTAATAGTAGTTTCCCTAAAGCGATACCAGTTTCGTTTGGACCTATATGTTATAATATTATTATTATAATAGTGTGCTGATCGAATTATGAGCGAATCATCGGTATTCCGTTGCCTTTTAATTCAATCGAGAAAATTGCTGTTATTCTCTAAGTATGAAATCACAAGATGAATAGCAATAATTTATTAACAAATCAGTGCATGGGAGATTTTCAGAAATGATTATTATCATTAATTCATAAATACTTAATTTTGTTTATATCATATTTAATAAACAATAATAAACAATTCGACCATTTGGATAGCCAATCATCAATTGAATTATATTAATAACAACTAGTTCAACGACGCGTATACAGTAAATTTTAAGAAGAAAAAGGTGCTCTACTGTACAGTAGGTTACAAGTGGGTACCGTATAATGGATGGTATTAAATTTGAATTCAATAATATAATATCATTGTATAAGAAAAACGATTCTGAGCGGAGACGGTATGTCAGTTTAGGCATAAGACATATTATATACTTATCTATGGTATTAAAAAAAATTGACCTATAATAGGTACCTATAATAAATTACAAATTAATCATATCACAATATCCATTAGGTACTTATAACGCGTTATACTTCAACAACAAACCCTGATACTATCATAGATAATATGTAATAGAGTACTTTAGAAGTTTCAAGTACCCACGAATAATATTATACAATCACAAAAAAATAGTTATTCTAGGTTTTTTATTATGTAATTTCGTCCATATTTGAACTTAAAATGACTATAAAAACAAACTGTGTCTATGTATTTTTTAGATTTTTCGGTAACAGAATTAACTACTTACGTGGAATCTTCTTTAAATTTTCAATCCTTAGATATAAAAGTTAAAAATTTTATAAATTCTTAACTCAAAATAATTTGCTAATTTTCGTGATTTTTCCATATTTTGTCAATTTTTGAACTTTAAATGCTTCCAAAAAAAAACTGAGACTTAGGATTTTTAATATTTTTCATCTGCCTTTGAAACAATATACTAGGAGCCTTCTATTAAATTTTCAAGCTTTTTTAACCAACAAATAAAATTTTATTGATATTTTTAGAAAAAAACTAAAAAAAAAATGGAAAATGAAAATGTTCCTAAACAGTTCAAAACAAATCACAATATTTTGGGAATTTCATCGTGTATAGAAAATGCCAATATAAACAACCAGTGAAAATGTCATGTATATACATTCATTTGTTTTAGAGTTACAGAAAATCGATTTTGTGGAAAAATTCCCGTTTTTCCTTAATTTTTATGTTGTTTTCCCCGACGCTTGTGAAAACTATTGAGAATTTTAAAATTTGACCTCTTGAACGCACCAACTAGATTCACTTTCCCATCGAACAAGATACTGCTGAAGAAAATCGAAGCAGTTTTACTGCCACAAACCATGATGACAAACACAAAAATAAAAAAAACAAACACACATATCATTGTAAAATCAATACATTCATCGTTCCACTCAGAATCTAAAAAAATACAAAAAAGGTATTTATAATGTTTCATATAGTCTGATATAGATACATATATTTTGAAATATACAAGATGAATTCCAAATTTTGAAAGTGATTTTGTGATTATTATTGCAAGTAAATATAATATATAACAATAATAATTATAAAATCACTTTCAAAATTGCTCTTTATTTTTTTTGTTTTGAAACCTTTTCGTTAGTATAATATTGTTTAAAAATTCATAAGCACATTAATTAAACATTTTTAAAAAAAATTGAGCCTATATTTATTTATTTTT